CGTATTTTTTTTTGCCGATTATTTTAAAAAGTACCGACAAATATACAAAAACCACCAAGGTACAAACTCTATCTAATTTTAAACCTCCCTCAAGTTTGATAGTTTTACCATGAAAAGTATTTTCAGACAGAACAATTTAAAAATGTAAAATTAAATAGTAAATACATATCGTTGTAACTTGTAAGACACATTTATAAAATCAAATATAGGTAGGTACCCAAAATAATAAATACGCACTAATATAACTTGTAAGATATAGGTAATACTCTTAAAATAATATGCATAGAAATATTCAAATTAATCATATTATAACTTTGCATGTATTTTGTGTATGTTCAAAACAAGATCAAACTTCTTACCACAAAGTGATAAGGGTAAAAGTAACCATCTTGGCTGCGTCTATTTTCAATGAAAATATTCATTTATAATTTGAGTGAACATTAATGGCCGTTAAATAGTTAGTCATTATTTATTTATTATTATTATTATTATTATTAGTTTGTATACACTATATACATAATTAATTATATCTTTCATTGACATCATTAATAATTGAACTATGGATTTCGATTTTAAAAATATGACTAAATTGTATGTAAAAAAACATTTAATACACAACATAAATAGGTAATGAGGACATTGTACCTATTTTTACTATTTCCATGTTACGTTATCCTTCCATTTATATTTGTCTCACAATACTATTAATACTGCATTACTACACAGCACACCCCCACAACGCATGTTTACTAAAACCATAAATACATATTTTTAAACGAGCGTGACCAGTATTTTTCACAATAAAAAATATTTGTTTGTAAAAAGCACATTCTGGAATTTGATACATATTTATATTAAACCTAGGTACCTACTCCAAGCAGACGTGCGTACTTATTTTTTTTTTGTGACAGCTGCACTACTTGATTTTTTACCGTATTCTGTCAATTGTCCTAAACTATGTTGATTTATAGACACACCAGAATTTTTAATACTTCATATCTTTTTTTATAAATGTTCTAATGAACGTGATAAAAATAATCACATGTATTTTATTATAGCGACATTATTTTTATAATTAATATCTGTAAAGGCTTAGCCAACTATGGTTATTAGTAATAAGGTTAATAATATTATTACTTATAACTTATAAGCCTATCTTAAAATTAAATACAAGTTATGTTATACTTAAGTACCTAACTAAAACTTAAATCAAAGTGATAATCAATATAACTTGTTCGAGATTGTTAACCATCATTGAAACTTAAAATGTATTTAAAATATATAGGTATTATCTACAGATTTTTTACTGTTAAAATTGCACTTTTACTCACTAATTTTTCGTAAGCAAGAAAAACTTATCCAATTTTGTTTTAATCAATTTCTCCATTAACTGAGATTAAACATGCAAATAAATATCAAGTATGCATAGTAAATATATTATTACAACTTATTGTTATAAATATAATAATTTTTTTTTGTATCAATAATTTTCTGGAAACTGTTATTATCAACAATTTATAGACTCTATTTGGATACAAGATTGTTACCATATAAGATAAAACGGAGATAAGATTTTTAACGATGCATTTCATTTATTTTATTACACCAAATTATTAACTAAAAGAATTATTTAAATAAGCAAATGTATTCAATTATACACAAAACTAACATTTGAAAAAATTAATAGATTCATAGTATGTAGGTACCTACGGATAGATGTAAAATGTAGTTTACAATTTAAATGTCTATCATTAATGTTGTATTTTGAATTGTTTTAATTTATTGCAACCATAACGGCTCTAAACTAATTCTCTATTTTTTTTTTTTATATTCAGTTGTTTAATATGATATACATGATTAATATAAAAGTTAGTCTTATAAACATAATATGTCTCTAAACAACATACAATGATTGTACAAATTATTTACATATCTTTCGTCATTAACAAACGTTTATAAAAAAAAACATCTGTTTTGTTGGTGATAATTAAATTGCAATTATTTAAATTAAAAATTATTGACAAAGTTTTATTATTTGTTAATGTATTACACAAGTTACTGCCTGCTTTTTTAATTTGAACTCTTTGATTTCGTAGCATAATTAATTATATTTACGTACATTTAATTTATAAAATCGATCAATTCATTATTACTCGTTATAATAGTATATTATTATCCTTCTGATCAAACAAACCAGTGCTGATTCTTCGTATTAATCAAATAAATTTAATAATTTGAAGAAGTGATCATAAATTAATACATATTTAAATCACATCTTTTAGCGTATACTTTTTTGAATGAAAATCAAAATATCTTATAAGGTGTAACTTTGAAAGTAGCAAGTAAACATTTATAATTTAAATTGAAAAGTTTATTTTCAAAAAAATATTGTTACCTACCCTTTAATAAAAATTCTGTATTGTAATAGATTAGATCATGGAAGATGATAACCTTAAAAAATATTCGAAGCAAAAAAACAGTTATTTAGTTTCATTAAATTCTGTGTACCAGACCCATATAATTTGATTTCTAAATTTAAAGAACGTCGAATGCATTTAGTAGGTCAGTTAAAGCATCGTAACACATATCGTCAATATATATAGTTGGGTAGGTACCTAACCTATTTCTAGATACAAATAATAAAAAATAAATCGCTTTATGTTCAATATTACATACATATTTGATATTCCATACAATAAAAACGTCATCTAAGCACCATATAACATATAATAATAATAATATGCATGCATATATAATATATATAACATATGTGCGCTTTATTTCCTTTCCTAACATTGTAATATTGGCATATGGCTGTGTATAATTTTATTAAATTCGTTAGGTTTTTCTGGAATACTTGAAGCATAACTCATAAATAATATCAAACATTTATTAAAGTTATTATTATTTAGCATCCGAGTTCTATATTATTATGTGAATTCTTTAAACCCATTCGCGTAATATTTTTACTTGTACCATTTAGTAACTATTCATTCACGAATAAATGATATCTTATTAATATATATTAATATAATGGTGAATTTTTTTTAGTAATAATGATATAATAATCCGTACCCGTCAATCAGATAATATTATATAAAAATGTAAGTGTAATCGAATTATTATTTTTGTTAGATGTACGCATCATATTATAGAAAATCATATACCTGTGCTATATAGTTTATAAGCTGTTTTCCGGTATCCGGTGTATATAATATAAGTATAATATATAATTAAATACAATAATGATCACTGTATGATATCTGTACATTTTTCTTAACATGAACCACTGCAGACCACTATGTGTCCTTAACCACTACCCTGCATGAATTAAAAATGCAGAATTCTTACTTGATTTTTTTATCCCATCTAAGTTTCACCTTAATCCCATAATAATTTTTATAATACGTTTTTAAAAGAGAAATTTTTAAATGAAAAAAAAAATATTAGTCGATACGCCATCAATAGATACTAATGAATATTGTATTATGTAAAAAAAAAAAAAAATTTTAAATATAAAAATTAAATGCACTATAGGGAATCGACACTTATTACAAGACTATTATTCATTATTCTATAATATGATAATTACTATGGTTCTAATTAATATAATTTCTCAACGAATGTTTTACAATTAAACAAACAGCATGTGTATTCGAAAATCATTATAATACGTAATAATATTATTATCAATGTATTTACCTGCAGTATAGAATAGAGCAAAACAACCGTACGAAATTAAAATGTGCGGACGTAATGATACATAGGTTCTGTTTTACATAGTAGTAGACATGGCGACCATTTGCATTAAACCTACAACATTCGTCCATGATTTCTGTCGGCTCGTAAAATATTTGTTTAGGTGTAGGTACATTAATTAAACGTCTATACTTGATTATACGTTATTTAACGCACGTTTAATTCGTCAGACGTATTGGGTTTAATGACGGAACACGTGTCGACTAAATGACGTGCTCGTTAGTCAAATGATTATAACATTTTTTTTTTTTTCATCACACTATTACTTTGGCTTGTAAATATAGAGAAGGAAAACACAACAAGCGAACAAAGGTATACGAGCAATACGAATTCAATTTGTAAATACATTTTGTGACATCTTTGTACGCGACAATGTTCTATGCGCTCCAAAAATTCAATATAATATTATTATACTACACCAATCCATTCGGACAATAATTACTAGTGTTGTCTTTTCTTTAGCCATTATAAACTGTTTGGTATACATAATTTAGGTATAACATGACGATATGCACTATATGATAATTCACCGAATTTTTCAAACGGTATGTCAATCATATATGATATATATTAATAATTCATTTTTTTACTGTAGGTGCATATAAAATGCATATACAAATTAAAATTGTGACTATAATATTCCTATACTTAATAAAAAAAAATGAACTAACCAATTTTTATAATATTACAATAATAATCGCAGAAAAATATTTCGATGTATATATTTTTACAGAATTACCCACGAATAACTATACAATTTTTAATAAATCATTCATTACAAATTACATTGTTGTATTCTTTTGCAAGATATCAAATGATTTTTGAATTTATAATTATTATTCCCTTTATTTTATAGTTAAAAGTCCATTATTTTAAATTTCTAGAACATTAATTATTTGAATTCATGCATGCATGCAACGTTACATTCGTTTAAATTAGTGTTCATATATAAAAATAAAATTAAAAAATGATTTAATATTTTAAAACATTATCTCGTGGGACAATATTATACGGTTTCACTCTTTGTATTACAATTAAAATTAGTTTTATTAAAATATTTATTGGATTTAATGATTTTTACGAATAAATATGGAATACGTTAAAAAAGAATTCAAAATGAAATTATAATTTTTACACAATGCCTTCAGATAAAAATATCAATTAATAAATATGAAATATTAAAATTATTATTGTGAATGCATTAATAATAAATATGTATAGAAAAAATAATGCCACTATAGTAAACTTGAATTTTGTTTATTAGTTACAATACAATATTAGATAAGGTAAATAAATAAATTTAGGAAATAAAAAATGTATTTAGTGAACACCGAGATAAATATTAAATTCATCATTAATTAGATTATTGTGTTACACCTATACGGTAAAACATAATTTCAAAACTTGTAATTTCAGAGATCTAAATCGTTTTCTCTGTCATACAATTTCGCTCTCTAAATCGATACCCGAATTCATCATATTTGATGCAATATCCTGTAAAATTGATTCTTCTTGATTAATAGCTTCTTGTTCCATATTCATTAAAATGTTTTGTTGTAACATTTCGTCATTTTGAAGTTCATTTTGAATTTCATTTTGAACTTCATTTTGAAGTTCATTTTGAATTTCATTTTGAATTTCATCTTCGATTTGATTAATTGGATTTGAAACATAAGGTCTTTTCTGAACCTCAGGCCTTGCAAGGCTTTTTCCCTTACTTTGACTGAGATTCGGAAATCTAGGTTTATCTCCCTGTGAGAAGGAATGTAAATTAAAGTAATTTTTTATTAAATTACTATATATTTTGAATACCAACCGGTTTCGCTAATTTAAAATCGTCATATGTTCGAGAACCACTTTCATAAATTTTTGGTTGATCTTTGGTTCCGTGTAAAGATAACGTCATTTCAGTAATCATACCTTTGTTGGATGAATCACCAGTCTACAATAACAATATTACATTATATCGATTGGCATTGACCATTTGTATTGAATGCTAATCAAGTCAACGACGTATATATATTGTACCGTATCAAAAATATCGATGACAAAATATCCTTTTGGAGATTCTCCCCAGAAAGAGAGTATTGTAAATGTCCATCTTCTTAATCCGCCAGTATTAAAGTCTTGTGGTCGATTTTCCAAGACATGACATTCCGTCCCTATATACAAATAAATATACTATGATAAATTAAAATTGTATATTGCATATATTATATTGTGTACATATTATAGTTACATATCAAATATGTGAGCTAAGTAAATGTGTCTTATACATTTTGACATTTACAATTATTCCGAAATTGTTGCTTAAATTTACTTGTAAATTCCACATTTGTGTTTTTAGTATACCTAGTTATAATAATTTATATCATTTTATTTATCATTCCTCGTCCATTCTAAGTCGGTTCATAGTAAAATAAATCAGGAAAGAAAGCTATCTTACATGTCATTCGTTGGACCTAAGATGTTTATGGCCAACAAATTTAAGCCATGTTCATGGCTTTATGAATATGCTAAGTTATAATCTCCTTTTTCAAATCTGTAGATTTATATGTATTTATATGGACATGTTATCATTGAACTTTAACCACATCAAATATTGAAGTTGAATTAATAAATCTTTTGGCAACATAGAACCAACAAATGTCTTACTTTTATCAAATGATTTGTTATATTCACAACGTTTTTAACTCTACAAACTATTTATTATATTAACAAAGCAATTTGTAACTCAAACAAAATTTAAATACAATTATTTGTCTAATTAAAGCAATATAATAATTGAATTAATAAACTATTTTAGGCTATATCCTCACATTATATGTCTATGAAAAAAACTCACAAATGCTTTTACAGTTATACATAGTACAGTTATAGCTTATAAAAAATGTATTACCTAAAGGTGATTTCATTGCTATTTGAATATCTCCTCTTTTTGGATAAGACATTGTCAATACTAATTGTACGTGTTCCATGTATTTTATTTCTCCAGCCAATCCTTCACAGCCATTCGAGAGCACGGTAATACGGGCGGCACGATTTCTTGATACTGGAAAATTTCTAAAAACATACAATTTATTATTAGATCATAATATCAATGAATGATGAATTATATTTAATGCATTTTATATGATCATAACTTTAGACGTACAATATTGAAAATTTCATTTTTATTAAAAATCATATAATTATTAAATGCGTTATGATTTTATACTTATTGCGTAAGATACCTACCTAACCTTAGGCATGCGTATACCACACGACGACATTTCAGGCACGTTTTCCCATTTCATGGCTGCTTGGACTAGCCTATAAGCATTCACTAGACCGAACCCAAAGTCAACAGAATAATAAAACCCAGCTTTATTCTTGTTCCATCCGTAGTTATCGCTCAACGGCGCCACTTGAGATGTCCAAGCTATTAGATGTTGTACGTCCCTCCATGTCAATTCCGGACTTGAAATGATTGAAAATTAAAATAAATTCATTAGTAGTAGAATAGTTTGTGCTGTTGAGATTTTTAATATTACTTTGCTGATAGAGCTAACGCAATAATACCAGACACCAGTGGTGCAGCTGCAGACGTCCCAGTATGTTTATCAGTACATTTTCCGTTTACATCGGTAGTCAACTAGATAAAAATAAAAATATTTAATTTTAATTTTTTTTAGAGAAAACCTCTTAAAATATATATTTAATCTATTATGCGATTGATTACCAAGTATAACGATAACTAGATAATTGTATAGTTGTCTTAAATATGTATATATATCATATTATGTAAATACAACATCTTTATATTATATATAATAGTAGTAAATAATAATTTATTTCTCTACTATAAGATAAAAAAAGCACCTTACTCGAATAATCGAATTACTTAATTACGTTTATCATCTCTAAGCAGAACACACAAGAACATACAAGACCAAAAAAAAAGTAAATTAAATTTAGTATAGAAATTGAAGCACATTTCAAGAAAAATTGCATAGAAATAAAAATGATATCGAATTGATGGCTGTGCCCGTGTGTATGAATATTAAAAGTATTTCAAAGAAAATACTAACCGACATATATATTAGCATTTTATAGGTACTGCAGGTAGGTACTCTGATATTGTATCGTAGAGTACAACATTATTAATAGTACCAGAAGGGATTCGATAATAATCAATAACAGCATTTCTTAATTCTCAAGTGTTGATTTGATCTATTTTTTTTTTAAAGAGTGGTTAATATTAAAATCGTTTATGATAAGTTTGCTGAATCTAAAACAGATGGTGTTATCGCCCACGTTAATTTTAGTTAAATGATTGCCACAATCCAGTTCAACACGAGAATTTATGACACCCTTTCAGATATCGTGGTTAGCGAGGACTCAATACCCAATATTATTGAGATGCATGTATACTTACCACATTCTTTTCTTGTCCAGAACCACTGTATGCAGTAGCCATGATCGAAGTACATCTTTCGGAATAGTGTGCTACATGACCACTATCATCGCAACTAGCAACGACTATGGTATATATAGAATTTACATAACCATCGCAAGCACAGTTGTCGCCTTCCGCTTTTCCATTACCAGCGGCAAACACATAAATAGCTCCTTTTCCGTTCCGACCCTACAACCATGTCGGTTGAGTTTTGTATGAAAAACAATTTTAATCCGTACTCGTTTATTTTTAACGATATTATATAATGATATGCATAATATTATACTAAATGACCAATCGTCAATATTATAACGATGAAAAAAATGTTATCAATAAAAATTATGTAGTATTAGTAATAGTAATTAATAACATATTCTGTGCAATGTGTATACAATATTGCAATGATAAAAGGGAAATTTATCTGTGTAATATGAAAAAATATATATGTATAAACATAAGACGGAGCTTTGTCTTTTAGGTACTTTACTTGATGTATGCCTTTTGAAAGTGACCTTTTGACAAAATCTGTCAAATGTTCCATAAATGTTCCAGTATCCGCAGGACCCCATGAATTACTATAAATGTCCACATAATTAAGAGCATATTTTAATACTTTTGCTTCTCTGGTGTCTGTCGATCCACTGTCTAAAAACTTAATCCCTAAAGCAAAATAAATTATTATTTGATAACATTGAAGTTTGAGTTCAACAAACTGTTTCAAATTTCGTAAAGTTGTAAAAATATCCTGTTTACCTCCGAGATTAGCATCATAAGCTGTTCCTACACCACATACGTCATTATCTGGCTGCATAATTATTTCCCCAGCGCATCTAGTTCCATGAGATCTATACCCTCTATTTCCATCTCTATCGGGCATAATATTATTATCATTCGAAATATAGTTCCAGCTCAAGTTTGGATTCTGAAATTAATATTTTAAATTAATTACGTGCAATCATACATTATATCATATTATAAATCATAGATTAATATCAAACGTATTTAGATTACAAAATAAAATATGATATATTTATTATTTAATTTACTTTATAACCATCAAATAAAAAAAAATACTGTATTGTATTGCATTCATACTAATACGACATTGTATACAAAAAATGCTTTGTTTATGGTAGTAAATGTATGTTTAAACTAATACTAAGAAGTATATAGTTATATGAAAATAATATAAGATCAAACAAATTAATTAATGTAATATTAAGTAATACTTAACATATTTTATGACAGTTGTTATAACTTCATTACTAAGTAAATTGCAAACATGAAACATAAGACATTTCCTTTCAAAAGGGAAACCTTATTTAAATGCATGTGTGTGTTTAATGTGAATTTCCTTTACCGGGAGTTTTATCAGTGGCGCAATAATTATACATAATATATAAGAGGAATCAGAGGGTGAAGTCAACCCCGGGGTCTGGGCGCTTAGGAAAACACAATGTTTTTATTTTAATAATATAATATAGGTATTTAGGTGGTACTCTTAGTAGCTACTCTTGATTTTTTTTTTTTAATTCAAAATTCTTTTGTGTTTTATAATCCGATGTTCACAGTTTATTTCATATAGACCATATGACTATAATATGAGTGTGAATGTTATGTTATTAACGCAATAGTTTCATGCAGGCGATGGGTTTAATGACTATTGATTTGGTAAGTACTGGTAATCGTCGAACATAGGATTACATTAGTGGCATTTATTTATTAATTGACCGGTCACCACGACCAATCGATTGTAGTATAATAATATCCATTTATATTTAATATGATATGGTACCATTTACCTGATACCTATATACAAAATCATTACATACAATCCATCGGCATTGTCGTTTTTGATAATATTATAAAAGTATGTAATTACGTTAATATTAATGTATTGATAAAATTTCAGCTATCTTAACTTACAAATTTTGGTAGTATTTCTGGATGTGTCCATTCTAGTCCATCGTCTGGTACTGTAACATTCACACCTTTTCCTGTAATTTTGAGTTTAAAAAAGACTGGTACTATATTCATATCAAGCACGGGATCCTTTAAGTTTGTACGTAAATCTTGCTGAAAATGTATGTCACCATATAAACATATAATTAAATTAAAGGCCATGTAAACCTCAAAGAGAACCAAAACAAAATTCCGACTTCATGTATTTAATTTATGAAGTTTAAACGTTATACGTAACAATTTCAAAAAATTCTTAAAATCTATACTAACGAGTATAAGTTAAAAGAATAATCAATTACTTTTTTAGTTAGTCTAGTTATTAACATTAAACAATTCAACGTAACATATTATGACTTATAATAATTTAAAAAGTACATGTCAAATAAAACTCAAATAATGTATTATTTAACATGATGAACTTTAAAATTAAATCTTTAAAAATAAAAGTCAATTTCATTTTAGTAATGACCATTTCATAAAACATTTTAACTAATAAATAGTTGTACGAAATTTTAAAGGTTAATAGTTTAATACTGTTATTTTGATCTCATTAGTGTGCAAGCATGTATCGATTTCTGCTGCTTAATATTGTTCATAATATATGTCGTGTAGTAAGTGTATAAAAAGTGTTAAACAGTTTTATTATTGTTCAATCTAGAAAGTTGGTATTTATAAGTTTTGATTAATTTTCAAATGTCTACTCACTCATTAATTAATAGTAAATAATAATATTTATGTTTAGTTTAAGTTTCGATTGCTTATCAACAAGTGGAATGTAGACTCAGCAAAAAGCTTAAGGTCATACAATGTAATGGCTCTACATTGAGTACAAGTTTAATAAAGGGCGCTTAAAAGAGTAAGTTAAACAATGCTTCAAATAAATGATCAATTTTTTTTCAATAACACAAATTTTAACAATAAAATAGTGCCGAATATGTTATTATTTCAAATACTATCAGATTACTACATTACCTACACATTATTGTTCATCACAATAGCAATATTTCAGTATTATGTAATAATAAAATCTACGTTAAAATTCCACAGAATAGCTAAAACCAATACGGCTGAACAATATTAAAACAATTAATATACACCTCTACACTGGCCCTATCGGTGACTCCGAAACATTTCCGAGTGGGCAGCCACTTAACACCGGATTCATACATTATAATATTGCCATTGTTGAAACCATATCTCAATTGTTTCATTGTTGAAACAATAAAGAGGAATAATAATATCAATACTGTATAAAAAAAAATACCTAATATTCAAAACTAGCACAGCCAGTGATATAAAATCACTTACTCTCACCGGCACCCATTATGATACCAGACTCAAATATTAACTACGCCCCAAATACTTAAAATTTCAACTTTATAAGCGGGGATACTTCCCAGCACCACTAATCTCATATGTTGGCCGGATGAGGCACCATCATATCTCTCCTTCAGTGCTTTCAATTGACATTCCCTATATTTACTATTCTTAAGAAATAATTAACTTGGTAACGCACACTTGCTATGCTATAGGTACCTATATTATTTCATTCCACCCATTTTTATATCCTACCTAGTGATTTGAACAATATAGATGTTTGGCTGTTTTGAATTTATATTTTTTATATTAAGGGTCTTTAAATTATTCACTTAAATCCTTCATTCATCGGTGGCTATTTGGTGCATTTTTATAATATTAACTCTCTTCAAGAATAATGCAGAACAACTCGAGCTTACAATATGCTTTTCACGAGGGTTCGAGGTGGTAACAAGAGATTTTCTTAACATTTCTTGCTTTCTACTCATCTATTGGTTACAAAGATATTTTGAGTAATAGATTTAATAGATTCAAACGTCACTGTGTTCAATCCTCCAGGGCTACTCAACTCGGCGATGTGCAGTCTGTGGTTCGATTCATTACGAAAAGTTGACCTTATCTTTCAATATTATTCTCATTCTTATGCATGCTATATTATAGAGTTCATAAAAATCATATCTAGCGTCCTTATAGGTACTATAAACTAATGAAGAAATAAAAGCATTACCTAGGCAAATGTGTATAGTAATATTGACCATCAAATTCACCTCTGCTAATACATAGAAAAACAATACGAAAGTTTTCTAGCAGACAGTCGCATATGTGCGTGAATAGTATAAGAGCAGTAATAAATAATAGTATACGAATAATATAAGAAAACCACCCTGCCGTTTGACTATCTCTATAATTTATAACTCATAACTACCAGCGCAGTCTTATCTTTCTCTCAATACACGAGGTCTTAATTTCATATCCCCTTTCATACACTACCCCACTTTACCACCTATACCTTTATCTATTATTTTACCCTTTGTCCATCAATATTGAATATAATAATATGTTAAATACGTATATTTAATGTAAGAGATCAACGAAAAATCAAAATTAATCAAACCGTTTTGAATTTATATAACATTTATGAATTTATGATTAAAATGATTCAATAAATAGTTGAATAATGTATTACATTTCTTTTCAGTAGATTGGCTCTTACATCTGCAGTTACGCCAATAATTTCCATTTAAGGATTTAGGTAATATTATTATTTTTCCGGCTTATGAGTTAGCATTTATTTTAAAATTCTAACATTTTATAAATGGGAAAACCAATGATTCTACTGAAGGCAGTTTGCTAAATCTGATAACAAGCAATCAAACAGTGTTAACCCAAATAAAGGAATGATAATCAGCAGTATATAGTAGTATAGTGTACATAGATAGTAAGCAGCAATAAATGAGTATTTTCGGTAGAATGCACTTCAATCCTTTTACCCCACTTGGATGTGTTAGAACGCATTTCAGTATTTGTAATTTAGACTTCTAATATAAAACAAGTATATAATTAGCAGTTTACTCGACACATCAATAATTTGATGTGGTTTAACTGTTGAAGTAACCATCCATATAATTGTTCTTCAATTTTAATATACAGACATTTAATTAAAAAAATTAATTTGTTGGTAACTTAATTTTATCGAGTCAGCCGTACTCTCATATGTAACGATAACGATTAGGCTAAAAACACAAAGTAATATAATACTACCTCATAATATTTAATATTATTGTATGTTGATTAATGAATATAATTCATAAATAAATAACTTATCTACTTAATCGATCATAATGTATTTTAAAATATTTGTGGTGATCGAGGTAAAATCGATGGAAATAATTAATGAAATGATTTATTATGTAATACCTACACATCATATAAGAATGTTGATTGTGATTAATCCAAATAATTTTTAGTTATTTATAGTGTAAAATATGGTAATCATCTACCTATAGAAATATGCTATTCCGTAGAATACAATTTTTCTTTATAAATAATAAAGTAAAAAAAATTACTCGTACTCACAAAATACCACATATCAGGCCAGAATTCATCATTAAATGCATCTTGGTAGTTACTTATGTGGGCGTGACTATTATGATCTAAGCTGTTACTTGTTGGCACAACGAACCGTGGAACTACTTTCCTAGGTTGAACAACACTGCGGTGGGATCTTTCTTTCACAGCTTCTTGGATTGCAACTGTTACCTTTTAAAAACAGTTGAAATTCTTAGTGGATTGATAACAAAAAGAATTAATAATAAACATAATAATCTCTAGGTACATATTTTTTCCAATTCGTATATCGTAACGTTGAGTATTCAAATATTGACATATCATATACCTATTTCAATATTTTTTTAGTCTAAAATTTATATATATATTTAATACTTTTTCTTAACGGTTAATATTTGTATTTTTAGTTGTTCGTGGTAATGAGACTGTAACTAACTTTTTTGAATATAAATTTGAATAACAATTTTCTAAATTAAAAAGCTGGAACATTTACTACAAGGCATCTCATAAGCTTTTCTTACAGAAATTATAATATATTAAAAATACATATTTACATTCTTTTTCATAAGTATTTGAAGATCAAATTTTTACGAAGTTAGTCAAAACCTCAAAAATATGCAAAATGCATACAATTTTTCATATAATACCTAAGACTTTTCAGACTTGAAAATGCGACTGTCCATGTTTACTTACTGTACTTTCAACTATTTGTAATTTATTTTTAACTAAGATTTTCGTTAGGTAGGTACTTAGTGATAAAATGAAAATTATAATTTCCTCAAATTAAAGTAAAAGCGTAACAACTTTATTTCAGTCAAAGTTTAATGCTAAGAAAAAGAAAAATATATTTATACAATTTTAATTATAACTTATTAAAACTTTAATAATTGGTAGATATCATATTTCGAAATTTTCGTTGATTAATTACCTAATTAAGTTAACATAATAATTGGTAACTGTTTGTTTATTAATTTAATATTACATCTAAGTTCTAAATAATATAAATAAAGTAATGTTATAGTAAAAATTATAACAAACCTTACATCAAAAATTGTATTTACCGGCCAATATACAAACATAAAACACAAGTACAATATACATTTTCTACCAAATATCAACATCTCTCGTCTTAAAGTAGAACAATTTAACTTCGACAAAAAACTTTTGGTTCCTATTGTTTAGTACCTCTGTCGATTTAATACACCAATATGTAATAAATATAATATATATTTATTTATTAAAAGTTAAAACATACAACCATTCCCCAAAATATATCCTGGTTGCACCGTAGAATGCAATATTTAAAATTTATACTGACCGCGAATCCATTATTATGTAATAAAATAACGGTGTAGGTCCTTACTTAAAATGTATTTTATACCAAAAATATTTATATAAAAATATATGGTTTCTAATTAAATAGCAAGTACTTACAAATTCATGGTTATTCAATTGGTGTGTTATATGCTCATTATTATTGAAGGATTTGTCCGGAAGTTCAGTTTTAACCATACGATGGAAGCCATCGTTATGAAAATCCTACAATAACATCAAGAACAAAATCATCAATATAATCGACTAGGAGAAGCCCTACAACCATATATCAAATCAAATATCAACACCATTAACTTCCTAACGAAAGTAGAGTTATACAACTTAATATAAGAACTAATAATAATGTAAAATGTATGTCAATAAAATGTAAATAAGAACTAATGAGTAATGGCTTATCAGCCGATGTAACCAAAATCAATAAAGAAAAAAAAAACATCCAAAAAATTGTTTGTCCTTCTTTTGGTTTTTTTAAGTTATAAATATATAATTACTTTTTTTTTTATTGATCTAATTTACCTATTTAAAATAATAAAAAGAGCTATACAAGTAGCTAAACAAAATGTTAGTAAAAATATTATTACATAATACAACAGCAATCATTGAAAGTAATGTTGCATATTAACATTTAAGGTTTATTAAAATTCCATTTAACACAACATAAGGTCTTAATGTAAGTAGGTAATAATATCGTCAGATGATTTGAAGAAACCACTGAACTATGTTTAAAATAGTTGTATTCTAATGTATTTAAAGTTTCGGGAAACTTTGCTGCAACCTTAAAACTTTTGGTGACTAAGTATTTCAAACAATAAATTGCATTTTCAATCATTTAATTCCCCCCAATGTATGACCTATTGTAAAATTGAATTCTAATATTTGGAAAAATTCAACATACGTATAGTCTATAATCTATATGGTGTTTTTTTAAAATTCTGAAATGAAAAAAGAATGTCTAGAATTCATCATTATACATGAATAATTGATTTAATAAATGTTTTATTCAAATTGAATATATTATTAACTTTTCATCAATTCAAAATATAATGTTTTATTTATTTATTTACTTTAAAAACAAACCGACATGTGCCCAATTACAAAGTATTTTAATTAAATTGATAGCAATAATAACTATGGTAAATAATGAGACTAGGTTTGACATGTATTCATACATTTATGCGTATATTTACTAGCAGGATAGTGACAAAAAATATTTAGGTACATTTTAGATTATTTATTTATTTTTAAAAGTGAAGAGCATAAAATCTGAATAAATAAAAAGGTCAATATGATTTCGTAAGTTAACGTGTGACATAGTTCAAATAACAGGAGAGTTTGTGGGGTAATTAGACGGAACTTATTGGATGTAAAATTTGTTTCTAGATCGAATCACTTATGGAAATGTTGAAGAATAATCGTTCAAAGACTTCTGGACACTCGATTTGACAAAATAGCACATTATTGTGGAGAAAAATGAATCCAATTATAACCTCTTAATTTAATGAGTATTAAGATTCAAATTATTATTTTACTATACGAGGTGGTTCTCTTATCATTGAATACTCATAATTTCGAAAAGTACTTATAAATGTTTTTTGAAGAAAAAAATGGTTGGTTTCTGGTGGTGAAAAATAACTTCTTAATAAATATATTATATATTTCTTAATATTTTTTATCCTCTTTAACATTTTTTAAGTTCTTTACTTTTTTGAATGACAACATACCATTTTCAGGATTGGACTAGTCCACAAAATTTATACTGGGAAATTAGTGCCAGCCCCACTTATTTTGACCAGTCACTACTATTATTTTTCTGGTTTTTTTTAACAATTTCAATTTATGTAAATTCCATAAAAAACGATAGAAATAATTTTTCTTTTATCAAAAATCACCTTGGATTTTCTACGGCCCGCTGAGGAAATTCCCAGTATCCCAGTGGTCTAGTCTAACTCTGAATGTTTTAATTTCATATTCCAAAGGCGAATATTTTTCTAAGTAATTCGATTCATAAAAATTGAACATAGTAGTTTATGAGTTATAACTTTATAAGAATTTAAAGTTTAGATGAGCAGAGTGAAGAGTTATGCGGTTACCCCTCTAAATATTTGTCCAAGCTCATCAAAACTTTAAATACCTACCTATAACTCATACACTACTCATCCTAAACTCGATTATTATATATCGAAATACTCAGAAAAGTATTCCGTTTTCAAAGATTTAATGAAAACATTATGTACTCATTCAAAAAAGTAAAAAACTTAAAAATTATAAGGATATATAAGGATATAATTTTTTTTTAACGTTGTTTTTAACAACTTGAAACCATATAGAAAATATTAGTACTTTTTAAATAATGAGTGCTCTACGTTAAATGAATCACTCTGCATATATAATACATAATGTATGTGACTTTGTTCATTTTAATAAAACAAATATACATTTTTAACACGTTATGACATTGTCTAATTTCTACTGTTTGTTAAAATGAGTACATGAGAAAATAATTGATTTTAAATATAAATGGCTTAAAACCTTGATTATTGTTTAAGTTACAATAACTCTACGCCTCAACGGAGTAAAAATAGCCTAATTGTTAAAACTAAAATAAACAAATGTTGAAAACAAATATTTTATCAAAAATTAACACTAATGATAATTATCATTAAAATTAACATTAATAAATATTATATACATTAATACATAATATATTATTATTAATACGTTATAAAGAATAACCATTGGAAATATTCAGTAGGTATTTATATTAAATTAAATTCAAATAAAAAATGTTTAATCCGTAAAAATAATAGGTACCTACATCAATATATTCTAATATATTAATTTTAAACTTGAATGTCCTTTCATTGTACTAATGAATTACACTTTTTTCTAGTGAATTACGGATATTATTATTTTTATATACCTACTGCAAAAACCAATATGACTCAATTTGTTGTCCGGAAATAATCAAAATGTTTTCCAAAAAAGTTTCAACACTTTTAAAATAGACTTTAATTAAAAATCTTTAACAAGGTACGTATAATGAATAAGAGTCTACAAAATAAAAGACAATATACGTCATAAGCATTGTACTACACATATATTTTTTTAACGTTTTGTTGACGTAGTATCATATCTTATGCTTAACGGAGCTTATAGTCAGATGATTTTTTTTTCAGAGACGTGGCAGAGTAAATAAATTCGGCCTGTTCATTTTTACTCGTACAATACGTAATAAATGTCGTTTATAAGTCTCGGACAAAAAAATAATAATAAGGAATTAACTTCGTCTCCTTCTGCATAAGGAACTAATATTGTTTTATTACCCTGCATGGACGTAAAGTACTAACCAGTAACCGGGATTGTATACAGGGATCACATCGGGTTTTTCTTCGAACACACAAATAAGCATAGTATAATATAAAATACTCCAATACCCGTCGCCTGCTGAGACATTACACAATACAAAACTGTTTGTATAATATTTAATGGAAATTAATAGTTCAACTCACAACGCTTTATGTTGATATGAATAATTGACTATCTAAGATATTATTATGTTTAAATCACGAATACAACAGTTTTAATTTCTTTGTGCATTTCGTTAAAGTAAGCGCAAAACCCAAGGAAGTCGCTCTGCTGTATAGTTATTCTAATAAGTGTCTAGTGTAACTGTAAATAATATCTTGGTCACTTAAGTGGATGAATTAAATTTGAATTCGATGATGAATGTATTGATTTTACAATGATGTGTGAGTTTTTTTTCTTTTTTGTGCGTCTGTCATCACCTTTTGGTAAAAGTGCTTCGATTTTCTTCAACAACATCTCTTCTGGTAAGAAAAACCTAGTTGGTACTTTGAGGGGTCAAAAGAAAAAATTCCCAATAGTTTTTAAAATCAGCACTAGAAAGGCGAATTTTCACGGAAACCAGGTTTTCGACAAAATCGATTTTGGTTTTTGATGTAACTCTAAAAAAAATACCATAGATACACGACATTTTCACTGAATATCCACATTTTCTATATACACCATAACATTTTCAAAATATTTTGACTCGTTTTGAGCTGTTCAAGGACATTTTCAATTTCAATTTTTTTAGTTTTTTCTTCTATAATTGTCAATAAAATTGTATTCGTTGGGTCAAAAATCTTAAAAATGTAATACAAGGATTCTGATATATTGTTACAATATTAGTTGAGAAATATTAAAAATATACTTTCACAATTTTTTTATAAGCATTTAATGTTCAAATTTTGACAGAATTTATCAAATTTAAAATATATATCAATTATTGTAAAATCTCCATAAATGTTCAACTTTTATAGCTAAGGATTAAAAATTTAGAACAAAGTTACACTCAAGTAGTCAATTCTGTAACAAAAAAAAAAATAATAAATAAATACAGTTTTTTTTAAAGTTATTTTATGTTCAAATTTGAACGAAATTATGTATAATTTAATAATCAAGAACAATGGTTTATGTTATTTTGTTGTAATTTAAAAATATTATTCGTGGGTAGTTGAAACTTTTAAAGTATATTACTATATTTTATACACACAATGGCTTTTCAAATGTATTTTTTTTTGACAGAAATGAATTTAATCTACTGTAGTACTAATGCTTAATAGTAAAATAAATACTTTAATCACAGTAATATCATCGAATATACTAAATTACTAAGTAATATCATAGAATTACAGACCGTCTTCGCTTGGAATAGTTTTTCGTGTACAATGATTTTATATCATTGAATCCAAATTGAACACCATCCATTACAGTGACCCACTTGTAACCTATTGTACAGCAGAGCGACATCTACTTGCCCGCTTTTTTGTGTTGTAGGTGTATATTACGTTTGATTTAAACTGTCATTTCAATTTTTTAGTTATTATTTATTTATTGCACAAAAGTATTGTACTGCTTATGATAAAGGACACAAAAACGTTTAACATATTGTAGTAATATTATAGCAGTGGTTCTGATTATATGAATTGTTTTCCTATTTGGAATACTCTAATGTATGTATTATTAAAAAAAATTAAACCACCCCTAAAATTTGACTTATTCTCCGGCGTCTATGACCATATATCAAAAATATTAATTATTACAACACAGTTATCGACTGTAAAAAACACGGAAGGGTACATACACTATATACATCTAGGTATTTATGATACTTTTTACATTAAAAAGCAAATATGTGGTAA